AGATGTGTTAGTAAGTACACTTCTGTCACCGAAAATAGATATACGGCTAAAATTAAGTTTAGTCTTAAACGGCCATTTTGATCTTAACTAATTCTTCATAATAATATAAATTATTCAGTCATGTTCTATCTTTTAGTCAATATTCAAATAATTCGTATAATTGAGTATTGTTCAGACAATTCGCTTGCAGTCAATTGTCAGTACTGTTTAGTGGCTTTTCAGAAAATTCAGTATAATGTTAATATAAATACAGGAAGACCAAATACTAAACAGTCTGAGCATTGCCTGAACAGATCTTAATTTCACCAAAAAGTAATATGCTAAATTAAAAGATTTTTGTCACTGAGGATCATTTTGGAATAGCATGCATGCTATAGCTATATATCAACTTTTGTTGAAATCTTATAGCAAAATTATGATTCTTAAAACGTAAGATTCTTTACAAAACTATTCGGTTTTTACTGCATTATCCCAAGTATTTGATCCATTTTGTCTTATGGTTTAAAATTTTGAGATTCGGTTAAACCAACTTTGAGTTATTGCAAAACTAAAAAATTGTCAAAACCTAAAGGGACATACTTTATATAGAAATTATCACTGTGTATAAAAATGGTTTAAATCGGAAAAGTAATCGACGGACGGACAGACGCAGATAAAGAGGGAGTACTGTATTGCACTACCTACTACCCTACACAAAATTTTCAAAACTAAATAGAGAAACGTATTGGACAGGTTATTGGTTTTTGCTCTTGATACATTAATATATCAACTGCAAGTCACACTATAAAGCTTTTTGTTGAGTGTGCACAAAGATCAAGTTTGAGAAGGCTGAATTTTATGTCGAGCAGCTGATTTTTTATATTTTATAATATCAATATCCTGTACAAACACAATTTTTACCAAAGTATTATTGTTCTTGGCCTAATAATCGCAAACTATTAAATATACTACAAGCTTCTGGTAAGTCTCTTACGATCAAATTATGTAATTATGTAAAAGCTGCATGGAATATTCGATCTAATATAGTCTCATAACTTTATATGTCATTGTATTATACTATTGTTCTCTGCTGTCTATTCATGTTTTATATTATGTAATATATGTTGTTAATTTTGCCATAGCATGTTTATGCTTTTGCAATAAAGATTCATTCATTCATTCAATATGATTAAAATCTGTTTATCGATTCATCAGATTGTATTTTGTGTATTTTTGTTTAATGGAAACAATCTTTTTTCTTCGTTCAACCAGCTACTGGGAGAGCACTTGATTGGTACGGGTAAAAGTTAACAACGTCGGTTATATAATATGACGTTAGTGCTTAGTTATAAATGCCAGGTCAATATACGACATTATCATAATATTTCAATAAAGGTACGTATTGCAGTTAAAACATTTTTGGCCACCAAATGTTAATACATATGTAAAAAAATGCATACAATTTTTGTGTAACTGTTCTATGTAACTCATTTCCAGAATGATAAGGAAACATTCGGATTATTGTTTTTTTTTTATTATATCTTTCCAGATATTGACGAATGCACAGAGAGCAGTGTTCCCGTTTGTTCACAGTTATGTTTTGATATACAGGGACATTATAAATGCGAATGTATTGAAGGCTATAATAAGACCTTCGTAGCCGGTATAGCAGGTCCAACAACATGTTAAGTTAAGTGTTAGAATCAATACCGAACAAACAAATAATATCTTGCTACCGGGTATTACTTAATATACTGATCATAAAATATTGTTAACATTAGAACAAAATCCGATGAACGTTTTGTCATTAAACTTGTGTTTCTGGTTTAATGAATTGCATTTCAGTTTAAAAATAAATCCGTTCTATGTTATAATTCTGTGTGTACTAAACGTGTTTCTGGAATTACCACAATCAGGCACACTTGAGGTCAAAACGATTGAAGAAATCCGTGAAGGCCTAAATATAACATCTCTAATACTTTGTCTATGGGATTTCAACCGGAGTTTTAGCACAATACATAATTATACGAACAAAACATTCCGCTTGAATCACGTCGATGCGTGAGCAATGGTTAGTGGTTGGAAAGATCCCTCTGGAACTGACATTCCACTAGTACCTGAACTGACACATCGCAAGTATTTATCTTTTGTACAACATGGGTTTCTGGAATGAATTTTATCAAGTACATTAACGACCAACATTAAGGAAAGTAAAACGTTTGCGAAAAAACAGCACCAAATATAAGATCAGAATAAATCTATTAAAGCTCATGTAATAACATATAGCAACAAAAAGAAGGCATGCTTTTGTTTAGGGAATACAGCAAATTGAAATGATGTTGAAAAAGTATTTTGAATCGAATATGTAATTTTTACTCATAATCTTCATCGCTTGTATCGCTGATATAGTCGATATTAAGTGCTAGTAAAAAATTTCTAACATAAACATCGAATTCAAAATTCAAGTTAAAAAAGTGGAAGGTCAAAATCAAACGCTCGACTACATCAACCAACGGAACGAATCGAAAACAACTATCATACTCCTAACTTGGTACAAGCTTTTTCCGAACAAAAATGGTGAATCCTGGTTTTATAGCTAGCTTAACCTCCCATTTGTATGAAAGTTTTTTTAATTCCGTTATATTTACAAAATTTGGTGAACAACCCCAAACAGACATAGATTCTTAACGTGTAACTGTGTAAACATACATCACAGACATACAACATAACGGACTTTAAATTCAAACAAACATACAAATAAATCTGACCAAGACACCTAAACAAAAGTTAAGTAGCTAATTGCATCTTACCAACAATCTGATCAATATTGATCAGTTTCTATGCGATGTAAAACACTAAGAAAAGTACGTTAGAAAACCATCTTTGAAATTGTATGATACCTATTTCGTTTAGTACGACACGTATTTTCTAAAATAATATATATCTTTATCACACTCGCTTAACCAAATTATTTATACCAAAATACACAAACACGGAAAAATCTTGCAATGTCCGATTTTCGTGAAGTACCTTATTAGACCTTAGTTTAAGAACAATATATTAAAAATATACAAAGGAAAAAATAATCTTTTTTTTTCATTTCGGCCATACATTTTAGTTGTCTAGTTTTCGATAGTTGTACATTGTCTATCAGTGACTACAATATATCATGTTTTAAATAAAATATAATAATGAAATGTTTATTTTATAGGTCCAAGGCCGTCGTTATTGCTCGCAGATAGCACCGTTATTAGAAAGTTTGAAGTTGGTACTTGGTTGCAAGAAACGTTGGTAGATGGACTATCCAGAGCTGTTTCTGTTGATTTTTACAAAGATAAATTTGTATATTGGTCAGATGTGTCATTACAACACATAGCTAGGTATATGTAGGTAAATGCTAATTTCTTTCTTCTTGATTAAGAACGAGCGTTAGCGAGTACTTATCATGAAGTAAGGGATTATCATTCTCTTACAAACTTAGAATATTGTAAAGTGCTTAAGGCTCAAACGATCTCTTGATTGGTTGTATTCAAGAGGTAGTTTCATTGTCATTGCACTATTTATAATTGATGCATGACTTCCTTTTTCGGCATTTCATTTATGGATTAGTTTTAGTGATGTAAGGACTTTCTTATAATTTGGGAAATGAGTTATAGACATTAGGTCACACAACAGTACAAAGAAAAAGTAGGAATTGTATATGTTTCTTGATTGTGAGTATGACTGTTAATCATGTAATATTTTAGTGAGGAGGTATCCTTTGTTTATTTACAGTTTAAATCAATAAATACTTTTGAGTTACAACTAAATTTATTTCACAGGCAATATTTTGATTCGGCTTTTTAGATCAAATACTATTTCATTCAGTCAGGGGAATGTTCAAATATTATTATTATTTTATCGGAATATTGGAAATAACTATTCTTCACAACCGATGGTCCAGTAATTAGAATTTGGGAAAACTAAAGATTTAGGTTATTTTTTTATTTAAAACTTGTTTTTTCTTTTTTTGCATTGCTTTGATATTATTCAATTTTTACAATCACTGTGTGATAAATCCTTTCAATCTGATAAATGTGCTTCGGGGCAGTTGTAACTCATTTATAGAAACTCTTTGTTTTGAACTGTAAATAGACCTAAATAATCGGATAAACCCTTACTAAGAACATGATTTACATTCATTCTTCACAATTAAGAGACATAAATTCCTACACTTTCATTAGTCGAGAGCACTTTGCTATATTCTAAGTACATATTGATGATTTTTTTCTATTGATAAATCTGATGACGTGTCAAGATTATAAAAGAAAGTGAGCAGTTTTAATGTTGTATACTGGCGTTACTGGAGAAAAATCTTCAAATCGATGATGTATTTGTAATTTCTAGCTTAATCAAGCAATTATGTGAAACATAAGTAAATAAATCTGTATTCTTAAAAAGCTTAGAAATATTTTTTGGAAAATAGGTACCGAAGAAGTTTTAAGATATATTACCTCTACCCTATACCTACCTCCTTAAGGGGCTGATAAGTAGCATATCATGGTTATAAAAATACATACAGTTGATGAGAACAGTTTAAAGATCTATTGATGAAAAACATAACAAAACAGGCCATAATTAGTCAAAGAGGGTGAACGACAACTCATTTTTTTATATTTAGCATGGTGTATCATAAATTTAGGGAGACACTTCTTTTGTTTTGTTAGTTTCTACCTCCTTAAGGGCTGATAAGCAGCATATTGATTAGAACAGTTTCAAATGCAAGCTCTATTGATGAAAAACATAACAAAACCGAAATCATATGCATTATACATCACAAAATGTTAAATGAAATTTAAATTGACAAAACAACGTATACAAATGACTTTTTTATATCTTATATGTGAAAAGCTTTAAAAGGTCATGATAGTCAACGAGGGTGAAAACCAACTTAATTTTTTTGTTATTTAACATGGTGTATCTTAAATTTAGGTAGACACATCTTTTTTGTTAGATTCATTTGATAGACCTATGAATTGTAGGAAAACATTTACAGCTTTATTCAAATATTTGCAGATCTGAAATAAAGAATGGGATTGTGAGCAACAAACAAGTAGTTGTAAATGCAGGTCTAGACTCACCTGAGGGTATTGCTGTAGATTGGATCCATCATCATTTGTACTGGACAAACACTGGACGAAACACTGGACTAAACACTATTCAAGTATCTAATCTTGAAGGCGATAAAAAAGCAACAATAATTGATAATGATCTAGATCTACCAAGAGGAATCGCTTTAGATCCAAAAATGGGTACGTTGTAAAAATGTACCTCTTTGAGTAAGGATAATGCGTTTCAATTCAAATAGGTTCGAATAAGCTATTAATGATAGTTCAATTTCAGCTGAAGATGACTGTCATTCACCGGGAGTTTTTATCCGATTATTGTTCCTGTTTTTCGCCAGAAGTTTTTCTTAATTTTGAAAATGGTTTTATTCTTTGTACTCTTTTGTATAAATGAAAAAAATCACTTCTGATAATTTGTCTAATCAGCGCTTCTCGGCGTAACAAGAAATATTATTTAATTCGTGACTTACGCCACGATATGTTTTAACAAATAACAAAATAAAACACAAATACCGTTGTCTGTTATTTTTTCGAACAACAAAATTTCGGATGACTTAGAAAAAATATTCTATTGAATCTGTGCAATGCGCACGTAGTCAATTCGTGAATATATAATCAACATATTAAGAGTTTGATTTTTTTGGGGGGGGGATAAAAAAAAAAAACAACATTTATTGTTATGTACATGTATCGACAACACAAATATTGACGAAATAAAAAAATTGATTTCGTGTTAGTGTTTATAGCCAAAAGTTGTTATTAGCTAAAGCAAACATTGTTGAAAATTTTATTCGGATTAAAATTGGTTAAAATATTTTGTGATCAAATTGTAAATGTCTGGTATCGAACTAAAGACCTTCAAATATAATCGTAAATTACGGAGAGGTGGAGTAGGCAGTTGCCTCCTGAAACTTTCTAATTAAAAATATAAATTAAAATAACTTTTTCAAGTCAGAGAAAATAAGACATATATATTTTGTGCGCAGCAACATCAAAAGACACCATAAAAAAAATTTCATAAAGACAAAAAAAAAGTAAGCGTTCGTTTGAACTTCTTATATGTCCTCATATGGCTGTATCATGAAAGGAACAAAAAATTGTTTTTTCAATTAGCCGTTATTTGTGATAAGTTTTGAACGAGAAAATTCACACGGGTACTTGGTTTTGTGTGCATATGATGCCACTATAATTGGTCATTTCAACAAAAGTAACAGAACTTTTGAAATGGGTTTTGATTGACTGAATCTACATGCAATTCATGTTGCCATGTGAATCTGTAAAGATAGAGCGACTTTACGTAAGTAATTTACGGTAAAGGTTTAAAGTTACTTCAAAAAGATTTTTCCCCTAAACTTTGCAATTGGTATATAGTGGGTTTTTTTCAGTTTCTATTCTTCAAGTTTCTCAGAGTTTTTCCCTTTTTTATATTATTTCTATTTGAAATGTTTGGTGTTCAGACTACAATGCACACATACATTGTTACAAGACATAATTAAATAAAATATGTGACATTGCTATTTTGTGAATAAAATTTTAATATGGATTACCAAGGCTTCGATGGCATTTTATACTGATGGACATTAAAAACGCAACACTAAATTATTTTCTTTAATTCTCATCAACAAATAAGCAATTCTTGTAAAATAAATGTATAAGCAGAAGTTTTATGCATTACTTCTTTGTCTACAAAAAGTTTGCAGTGCGAAAGTTGAATTTATAACGTCAGGTTTAATGTTCCCATCATGTGGTATGCACTGAAATCCTGGTTTTCCCTTTATCAATGGATGTGTCACCGTTGAAAGCAATGACTGCATGTAACAAAAGCCTAAATGATTAACAGACAAGTCAGCCAGTTCTGTTGAGCATTTTTTTAGTTGTTTTGTACCTCCTGAGATGGCCCCTGTCCAACCCGTTACAGTGTGTTTTGGCAATTATGCGGTTTAAAATTCAGGGCTTAAAATGTTTTTTTCTGCAGTCAATCCTTTGACATTTCATTATATTGGAAACATTTATGGCGTGAATTTGTCTGACATGGCATTCAACGACTTGATTAGCAGTTGAATTTGTGGCCGTAAACATGTCTAGCAAATGACGTTGCTTAATCAAACGTGTTGTCACAAACTATTGATCTGGTCATGGGTGGTTATCCACCAATCCCGTCTGCCTGAACCGTTTTTGTATGGAAATGCAATATTTTGTTACTGATGTAACTTTGGATATAGATTGAAAAAATTGTTTCACGCAGAAAAAAGCCTTTAAAAATCATTTATGGGTTTAAAATATCGCTTCAAGAAATTTGTGCGACTTCAAAAATCGGGTATGTTTAATTACCTCAGGTAAGTCAGGTATTGATTTTTTCTAAACAGATAGAAGTATGGTAAGCACGAATAGTAGTTATATGAGGATCAATCATGATTTGATAAAAAGAATCAACAAGTTGTATGATACGTTTTTAAAGTCCATCAGTATACAATATATCATACTATCTTAAAAGTACTTTGTAGTTCGTCAAATATACAATCATATTTTAAATAATTTGCACAGTTTCCCCCTTCTGTCGACAAACGACTCATGTTTATCTCTAGAAAGATATAAATATTCAAAATTTCAAAACATCTTTTCAAACCTTTAAGAAAAGCATGCACGGATATAAACAGTCTGTCTAATTGTGTAATCTATTTATAGTTATGTAATACTTTGCCTGTAAAATACAATAACTCAAAACTAAGTTATCAGAATTAAGAACCTTACAAAAATTACACTGTCTTTTTTCAAAAATATTCTTACTTCTTAAACAAAATACCACCAATTAGAAAGATCTCTCCAAAATTGTTTTATTTCGACACTAGTACATTCAAAACAATTTGGTATATAGTTTCTATCGTTTTACAATGGCATTGTCATTAGAGTCTGCCATTCTATATTAATCAAGAAGATAGTTGATGAGAGACTATTCTATGTAAATTTTATATTGGAAAGCTTTACTTTTCGTTTTATGGTACATGAACAAGCCAGTGGACTAATATTTTCCCATTTTGCATCATTAATTAAAATAAGGAAATATTTGTACCAAGTCTATATGACAGTTGTTTTCCATTCATTTGATGTGTTTTAGATTCGATTTAGCCATTTGAAAAGGGACTTTCCGTTTTGAATTTTCCTTGGAGTTCGTTATTGTTATTTTACTTTTTTCTATATTAAAACCTTCTTCTTACCTTTGTTGTGAAATAGGACAAACATATCCTTGATCGACAAAAAGTTAACAAACATCTTTTGCAAACAATTTACTGATCGGTGTTCTTTTATTATCATGCTCAAAAACAATTCTTAGTGAGTTGCTTTTAGGTGACGTATCAACAAATTTTTTCCAGTCACGTAGTTTAGCAGTTTTGATAGACAGGATGTCTACAAAAGTAACATTTTGGCAACATTTTAAATAAATAGTTTCATGAGACAAAAATTCTCCTTTGTCATTACAATATCATTGATGAACATTATGCCTTTCATGCACCAAGATCAGTGAAAAATACTATTACTGTCAATTATGATAAAATATTTCAACCAAATAAAAGTTTTTGTCCCATGAAATGCATCGAACGTGTAAATATACCCTTGAAACGTTTCCAAGGAGTAAACACTTCTTTATATGAAAATGAGGTGCTGTTATAATTAATAATGCAAATGCACATCTGCTCTTAAACAAATCCTGTAAATCAAATAAAGGAAAGGATGCTTTATAAATAAGTTTTCATAAGAATTCATGTTCTGATAGAAACAGTTTCTCAGAATATACAAATAAATTGTAATAGATAACTATAATGATCACTGACGATAAAGTTAAAATTCTAATAAATTATCAACAGTGAAGAACTTAAGAACTCTTAAGTGTTTGTGCAGCCCGTCAAGGTTACTTCGGTTCAAAAATACTTGCAAAAAATAAAAGTTTAAACAGTTTATTGTGAAATACAAAGGTTATATGAAAATATTGCTTGCCCCCCTGTATTGAAAACTTTATATGTTCCTTGAAATGCAAGTCTGCATAGGTTAAAATACCAATTCTATTAAGTGTAAGTTACCCGAATGTTTTTTTCTATCCCAGGTCGAAAAGTCAAAATACATATTATGGTAGGCTGCAAATATTAGATGTGTTTTCAGCACCAGTAGCAGGACAAAGTGAAACTTTTACAAGTACTAGCGCATGCATTGGAAACATAAATAAATAGAGATACTCTGACCCTGCAAACTGGTATCGTAAGAATGTTTTTGATGAAGAACGAGACCGCCTATGTCTTTCAGACTATCCAAAACATAAACATGATCGCCGATATAACAGATCATGGGGAAGATATGTTTTTATGGCTAATTTATTTAAAGTTTGATATGTTGTATGACGAGGCGACAAAATGGTCTGCCGGACACTTTGTGAAACCAGATGGACACCACGAGTAGACATTTTGACATTGCTGTTGACATTGGAAGAAATCGAGAACAAAACAAGTAGATATGCTGATGCCACCTCATACAAATCAGTGCTTCAGAGATCCAAAATCCCAATAGAGGGCTGTGTATTCTCAATTTGTATTCTGTTACATAAGGCATTTGTAGATTGTTCCATGTGATTTTGTGGAAGCTCATATTCAAGCTAGACCTTTGGGTGGATACAATGGTTGATATACGTAAACACTGTACTGAATCTTTCCATCGGTTATTCTATCTTTGCAGCAAAAATGAAATTACCATAACGAAACCGCGTATTTCAGGACGACAAAGACATAGAGCAAACGCGGCTGCAGAAAAAGTTGAAGTGCATTTTAGAATAAATATGTTTTATCTATTCATTGATCAAATGAAATCGGACACGAGGATTTCTGGACTAAATTTGACCAACGCTCTTCGTTTTCAATTTGATGCAACATTACTTCGACAAACTGAATGACAATCAATGGCGAAATTAATGTGATCAAAAATTTTGTCCCGAAATCTTGCACCGTTGAAACTGTACTGAGCTATACTTCAGACTTCTATCCGAAGATCAGTCGTATAATGCAATTAATGTTATGTTTGCCAGTTTTTCCATGCTGATGTGGACGTTTCCTTTCATTTCTTTGAAAGCTTAACATATGAAAATATCGTCTATGACCTAATCTAGGCTGGGCAGCATTTTTATGTTACACGTACATAGAAGTGACACATCGGATGAAATATACACCATTATAGTTCTAAAAAAATGAGATGCATCTTACAAGCGTCAGATTACTCTCGCTTTTGATCATTTTGAACAACATGAGAAGTAATTGATTGCAAGTTTTGTTTTCTATCATATTGTCCATATTTATAAATAAAATGTACTGTTATATTTGGATCTGCATCTGGTTCTAAAACTCTTATTCTATTCAGTCAAAATAAGTCTTGGGATTTTGCACCAGGAAATACTTAGTTTCTGGGAACTAGGCTGAATATTTGAATCCTCCATAACGAGGTATAATCTACGGCTATGCCTTCTTCAAAAACTAAACAGTACGTAAAAAATTGCGTAGAGCAGATGAACAGAAAAATTTATAAAATCTGTTTTTCCATTTGTTTTTTCCATTCAGCTTCTATAAACTAAACACTATATGAAAGATAAATATATTGATCTGATTATACCCAAGAGTAACTGATTTGTTCAATAAGTACCAAAATACATTTCAGTCTTTTCAAATATAGTTTGACTTTTAAATTTAGGTTCATCAGAAGTTATTGACAAATATAGCCATTTATTTGCGTACAGACAAACATGTGCAGCTTGAAAAGTTTTGCATATACCCCTACTTTATTTACGAGAGAGAAGGATTTAGAAAAAATCACTTGCCGAGTTTGGTGGACTGATATTTCGAAGTTGGTCGGTATTCCAATGGGCACTAACTGAGTTTTCACATATCCCAGTGAACTTGTGATCAAGGAAACTACCGAAACTAGAAAGCCTGTTTCATATATTGATCTTTTCCTCGATCTTGACACAGATGACGACATCGAACTAAAATAAATATCAAACGTGATTATTTCAACTTTCAAAATTGTCATTTGACATTTCTCAGCAGTAGCATAACCTCTGTCCCATCGTATGGCGTTAAGAATCAACTAATATGTTACAATAATGTATAGTCTCACAAAACTGCTCAAGCAGAGTAATAAGGAATGACGACTAAAATCGACACTACATAAATTTTACGATCACCATCACTATTTAGTTGACCGATACGACATGTTTGTGTCTCAACTTACTAACGACATGCATTGGTAGTCTTATATCTGTTGACACAAGAAAACTCGTCAAATCTGTAATTTTACCGATTTTGTCCTTATCCCGATTATGACATTTTGACTGAGTGTGGATTCGTATGGCGGGTGATACATATAGAAATAAGAAGATGTGGTATGATTTCCAATGAGACAACTATCCATTAGAGACCAAATGACGTAAATAAAAGAAACTACAGGTCACCATCTGGCATAATGAAAATCTGCAAAACCCATATCGTATATAGTAAGCTATAAATCTGAATAACATGCTGCCGACTTGGAACCGGCACATACATATGTGGCCGGGTTAAAACATGTCAACAAGTCGAGAGCTCAACAATACCCCTAATCTGGGACGTGCATATGTGTAGCAGGAGACGCTTATCCTGTCGACGCAGTCGATTTTGCTCTTTTTTGAGTTAATGCGATTCACTTAATTTTTGTTTGTTACCTTGATTAGTCTTCTAAATCGATATATGAGATTAAACTATTGAAGTCCTAATTCAGCCAAGACTCCTAAAACCTGTTTAATACTCCAGAAATAGTCGATACCGTTGTTTATATAATATGAGCTGTTTCACAATATATTATCACAAGACCTTTAACGGTTGTAAGAGCAAGAGGTCTTTTTTCATATTTTATCAGATAATTTACATTTTGTAAATAAAACTGTTTCACATTTAAGAAAAAAAAACAGAAATTTCATTACAAATGAAAGGAAAAATAGAAAACCTAAATGTTTTTAATTCATTTATAATGAAGTACACACACACAAAAAAACACCTGAACTTAATTTCAAATACTGCTACATACATTTTGTTTAAATACATATTCTTCACATTCGGTTTTTAAATTAACATACGTACAGTTGTATTGGTGTTATATACCAATGAGTCTCTGTATTTATTGCATTCGCGTATAGCCCTGGATGTCACTTTATATGGCCCGTAAACATCTTTCGGTAATTCTTTTACAGATTACATTGATAGTAGAATTTTCTGGATTGATGCTAAACTACATACCATTATGTCTGCTGATTTAGATGGTTCCCGAATCCGTACCGTATTACATAATAATGCACAAATATCTCATCCATTTTCTATGGCTGTATTTGAGGATGAAGTTTTTTGGACAGAATGGTCCGGAGATAATATTCTTACGGCTCATAAATATACAGGAAAAAACTTCCAACGAAAAGTCCAAGGTCTAAATAAGCCAATGGGTATCAAAATGTATCATGAATCTCTACAAAAATCTGGTAAGCAAATTAGTTTTACGATGCAAGTAAAAATCTAAACGTTTCCCTGTAAAATGTATCTTACAAATTCTCCTTAGCAAGCCCCTGCTGATATAGTTGAAAAATGAAAGACAATCGTTATTTTCCATTTTACTAAGAAATACAAACAAACCACATTACTGTATACATTTTATATTAAAATCGACTTAATTGATATAGTATACGCACAAAGAGGCGTAAGAATATGATTTATAGATTAACAGGATAACAGGAATCACTAAAAATACTGGACAGCACAATTACCACATCAAACTCCAACACCTGACTCCTCCAAAAACACAGGCGTACAAACGAAGACAAAAACAACGATAAATAAATGATTCAGATAACCTGACAAATGCTTAGAGGTTCAACCAGTTTACGTGCGCACAAATTTCCCTTTTACCTTACTAGACAATTTTGTCGTAAAAATAATACCCACAATAGAATCATCCACAGTGCAAATATCAACTGAATAAACACTTACTAGAACAAGATAATCAAAAATGGCACATTTTTTTTTTATCTGTATTAATTTGAAAAGCAGGATCAAAATGTGTTTCCTACTAAAGGAAGCTAGCTAAGGGAGCTACAGTTGTTTTTTGGAGACTCCTGCTCAAGAAAACAAAAAGACCATAAACACCACTACTAACTGGTTACATAGTTGTCTTACTCATCGAAGAAATCTGCTTGAACCAGACATGTAATACAAAGGTAAAGTACAACATGACGATCGTGAGCTATCAACATTTCTTTATTTAGAGATACTTTCATTTCATTTTTGTACATCAGCTCTTAATCAACATCGAGCTAAAGACCTCAATTTCTGCACTTGAGTTTGATGTAAGTTGTCTAAGCTATGGAACATCTTGTTGTTGAAGATTTAAAACCCCTTGTCTCTTCTTTTTTAAATTTTTATTGATGAAATTTGAAACTGAAACTTTTAAATTAAAGGACAAAATATATGTGATAATAATGAGGTGAACTGTGAATACTTGTGTACACGTGTTCAATCAGACGATTCAACTTTACCTTCGTATACATGTGTTTGTCCAGATGATAAGAAGATTTCACGCAATGGTCACACATGTATTCCTGGGTGTAAGATTTTTTTAATATTGTTATTTTCAAATAATACGGTTTCCTCAATAATGCAGTTTGCAATTGTAATATTGTGTCTATATTGATATGGATTATTTGTCTGGAAAATTTGTTTAGAATATTTGGCGTTCAAAAAAAGACCAAGTAGGAAACGACGAAGACAATACCATGGCCAAAAGAAAAAGACGAATAGACAATTAACAGCAGTCAATCAGAAAATTTAAGATCGAGCAATACCAACCCCATCAAACCCCGAAGGTTAACTCACGTACTCCGGCTAAACTTGTATATAGATATAGGAAGATGTATATTTGTTTGTTTATATCTTCAGTCTTTGTGCCCGATGAAATTGCAATACTGAAGTATAGCAGCCAAATTATTTCATTAAGTTTTTAAAATCCCTGCCCAAATGTATGTTGATCCGTTTGAATACAGAATAATGTTTGAATTACTGTAAGTTTCAGATATGGATACAGATTATACGTCTACTGTAGTGACGACAATGACAATACCAGAGAGAACTGTAAACGGTGACAACAACATACTTACTACACAATCATCAGCTGAATCCCAACCAACATCCATGAAGACACTTAGACCTGATGAAAGATCTGGGGATTTTGAGTTTATGTAAATGAACTCGAGAGAACAATCACACAACATAAACGAACCAGTGTTTAATAATAAACGAATAAAAGAATATATTAGGTCAATGAGACTGCAACCACACAGCACAAAAGATCGCTTGAGGTCAACATATGGTTTTTAAAAAAGAACAGGTGTTTAAACCGTATATCAAGCTTTTGATTGCACAAAAATCTAGACAAGTTATGAATAAATTTATTAGATATATCCAAGTATCTGCCATCAACACTGTATTCTTTAAAAATAAACAACGTTCAGACTTACTTGTTTTCGAAAATCAAGAAGTATTACAAATCTATCAAATCAAATATTCGTTATTCTTCAGACATTAATTAGTCAGATTTCTGTATTTATAATCTGTGTTGTTTGATTTGTATAAAGGATACAAACTCTTTTGATAAAACAGAATTGCGAAAACTTCCAAAATATTCATATTTTTTTTTGATGTATTGGCATTTTATATTAGTGCGAGTATGGGCCTTACCAAAAATATCTCTTGCTTTAAATTGTCTTGTACAAAGATGACGATTTAGGAAATATATCTTTTTGGGCTATGTCTCATGCCTATATTTCTTGAATACTATGGGTAAAATTGACATCTTTGGCCAAATATACCCGTTTCGCTTTGTTTAGGACATCACAAGTTCTCTACTAAAGTTCTCAGATTATGTCTTGCTATGCATTAATCAATTAATAAATGAAATTAACATCAGTTTAAATGGCTTGAATTTGCAATTACAGGGGCAGAATTTGTTCTCTTAGCATACTTCCTTCTTTAACAAATACATGTATATTTCTGTTACCAACATCATAGTCTCATAATTATAAAAACCATTACAACTTAATATATGTCTGAATCACTGCATTTTATTGATTTCTATATCCCTAAATAATGACCCTTTAATTCACATCTACTCAGAACTAAAACATGCCTTAATTAATCTCGCAAACGCTGAACCTCAGAAATTACCTTTTCATTTTAAATTCGATAAAGTTTACGTTTCAATCACGAATATCTGGTAACAATCATATTTATATATATATATATATATATATATATAAAACGTCTGAATAATAATATATATTTAGAACTCACGATGAACTCAACATGTCAAAATACATATGAGTGCAGTGGAAAACTTTTATGCATAGATGGTATTTGTCAGTGTTGTGAACAGTTTGTTTGGAATGGAATTAATTGCGTCAAGAGTAAGTTGGTTTTTTTTTATACACCAGTGAAATAGATAAAGAAACCAGCAACAATAAATAATCATAATCATACTATTTTCCATATATATTTGTTTTTATGAGGAAATTATATAATGTAATTCGTCATGGGTTGTTTTATGTCATACCATACAAGTAATGTTTTGTTATTTGGAAAATTTATTGATTTTTTTTCCACCAGTGAAATGAATAAGAACAGCAACAACATGAATATTGATAAACATGAAACATTCCACATAAACTTCAAGTTGTGATGGGAGAAGTCACATGATCAGTGATGTCTTATGTCATATCATAATGTCTTATCTTAATTGTTTCTGTTGATTGACTTATTATTGGCTGTCTGTTGTATTTTTCTTTCGACCATTGTAATGTCGGTCTTCCTTCGAAATATGGTTTTTGATAGATCCTTTTGTATCGTTTTTAACTTGTATAGACGTGAATATATAAGTTCTCTGTCGTTTTCATTTCTTGTTACATCAACCATTAAAGGTGGGATCTACTTAGAATAGAATGATACGATAGATGCAATGAAAATCTGAAGTCAAACGTTAAATTAAATCAGGCAAACAAAAAAAGACCACAAACTGAACATTGAGTTACATTGGCACCACTAAACCAGGAAATTAACTGAGGTGTTGATGCAATAGCAGTCTTTTCCCACCATTTTAACCCTTGTACTACGCTTGTTTAATCTAATGATAAGTTTTAATCGTAAGATGTAAGATGTTTTGGTACTTAAGGTAAGTGGACAGTAAATTGATGATGCCACAGATTTGTTTTCCTGACTTAACATACTAATTCGGTATGTTATAAACATTAACTAGAAATTAAACAAAATCACTTGTCTCTTTTATCTGCGAATATATTATTGACTGAATGATAAAGATACTTATTTGCTAAAAAAGGTAAGACACTTTCTTATATTTGACTTAAGATTATCATTTCTCAAAAACCAATCCATAGATTAAAAAAATTAAATCATGTTATTAAATATTTCCGTGTTCTATACATACTTATTGATATGATAAATTCACCGACCTTGTTTTTTTATGTTTGTCCCTTTCTTCCATATTAAAAAAAACGTTAAAAAATATAACTCTAAAGATTTCTAAAACTTACATCGACGTTTTTGGAATTTGGTATAAAAAAAAATAGAATTTTTATATTTTGTTTTCTTAGTTTTGTTATGGAGTAACGACGATGTAAAGGTAATTTTGCGACCATTTTCGCCAATTTAATGTTCATTTTATACAAATGATTATCTATATTTTTTTTGAAAGTCATACTGGAGTAAATTAAGCCGTTACTGTGCTTATGCAAAAGTATTTTACCCTTTAGAATACATGATACGAATTTGATCATGCTTGAAAAAACTTAAATCAGTGATTTCCCAATAATATGCCGTAATTCTAGTAATTACTGTAGGGAGGAAAATATTGATATAAGTCTACACAATCTTTTTGTAAAAACAAATCGCAAAAATTTAGTCATTTAAACAATGATTTCAACAAATTATTCATAAACTGTCACCAGATATTGAAATTAACTCCTTTTGTACTTGTGATTCTAGTAAAATGGTGTCAGATTTTTTTCGAAAAAGAAAACCAATAATTAGACAATGCAATGATGGTAAAAGTAACTCTATCACTATAATAACTACTTTTCTTTTCCAATGAGAAGAAATATTTCATAAGTTGCTCTATTTCAATTTATTCTGCAACTTAACCATTTTTGCATCCATTTAGCATTTTGAAAGGGTAAACCATTAGTGTGACGTTAATTTATTCATATGCTGTGGTTTCTTTTTCTAGAACCAAAGCTTCTAAAATCGGAAGGTGAAATTTATATTCAATTGTTCGCAAAGTTTGTTGAATTTTAATTAAGTTTGAAATACCTATGTTACTGGTTTCTGTTTTCATTGGAGAAAGTTTAAAAGAGATGCAGAAGAAATCAACGGGATAGTCAAACTATCATGGCAAAACAACCAAAAACGACTAAAATACAAACAACAGTCTACAAAACACAACACAGAAAACTAAAGACGGAGTCACTCTCTCTCTTGATTTTTGCAAATTATTAATTTGCCATGAATTCCCTTTTGAAGTCAATAATATGTTCATTTACACATAATGAAAATCTCTAGCGCCTTTAGATATATAAAACGACGTTTGTATACTATAAGTTGGTAGCCGCACGACTAGGATAAGTTGGAGAGTTAAAACTAGGATTCACACTTGTAACGCTTTTGAATTACGCCATGATCGTTCTTGCAGGTGAACCCAGAAAATGGCTGACGCATACATTTTATGGAGTGTCTTTTCACCTTTATAATACTAGGTTAATACTGCTGCTGATGGACTATTAGTCCCAGAGGCTAGGATATTACAACACAGTAGTTAGTGCTTTGATACTAGTAAAAATGATTAATGACATACCTTTCTTAAATTGTCCGTTTATAAATGTAGAAATTAATAAGAAAATAAAGTTCCAGCTTCCTCGGGTAAAGTTGAGCTTTAAGAATTAGGCTTTATTTTATGTCGATTTTTTCCTATTGCTCTTAATGTTTCAATTTTTTTACATCCTTGAAGTTAAATAAAGGCGACAGTAGTACACTATGTTCAAATGTCGTAAATAAGTAAGAAAAGACAAATCATGGTAAAAAACAAAAACCAAGGGAAACGCATGAACATCAAAAGGAGCGAGACCGGATGCGTCGACTGGGTAATAGCTTATTCTACTATGCATGCATCACCCGCCTTGCGAATTACCACTCATGTCAAAATGTCACATTCGAGAACATGACACAATCGTTAAAATTACAGATCAGACGACTATACTTATATTTGAAGGTCTAAGATCGAGAAAACAAGTCGCTAGGGAGTTGAGACACCAACACATTGTATCAACCAAATCGCGAGTGTGACCGTAAAATTTATGTAATATGGATTCAGTCGTTCTTTATAACTTTGTTGGAACAGTGTTTTTTTAAAGGAGCACACCGTTGTTAATAAAGGCCGCTTTATGTGAACATGCATGAGCGTAACGTATAAATTGAGATATGTAAACGCCATAAGCTGGAGCTGGAGCAGAGAGTATGTTACTGCTGAGAAATTAGAGGTTGACATATGAAAAGATGAAATCATCACGTTTGTAATAGATTCTAGTTTGAAGCCGTTCATCTGTGTCAATGTCGAGACAAAGATCAAGATATGAAGCAGACCTTCTACTTTTAGTAGTATCCTTAATCTCAAGTATACTGGGGTGTATGAGATGTAAGCACTCATTGAAATATGGGTTACTGAATTACAGAACATTATCAATATATCTGAAAGTGAATGAAGGAACTTTAAAAGATGCTTTGTTTCTACTTTGTCTTTAAGAAGGTTTAGTATGAATTCTTCGTTTTATGGACACAAAAGCAAGTCGGCCAGTAGTGGTGCACTTTTAATACTCATTGAAATAACAGTTGTCTGCTGAAATATCAATCCACTTAACTCAACAAATATGCTGTCGATCAAACAATTAGGTGAATCAAGGACGCTTTATGTATTTTTTTATGTTTAACTCGCAAATTAACATACTTTAACTAATCTGAAGTATTGTTTTATTTGTCATAAAGCTGAAAATAAGATTACAGTTGAAGTAAGATTCTATTCAAATTCCTTTGCTTATATCCGATCCAAAGCCACAAAACAATCTTATAGTGGTCTTATAAAAATGTTAAGTCTACTTCAAGTCACACTATCTGGACAATGTCTT